AAAATCGTTATCACCAAACCTCTTGAAATAAGCACAAGGGTCTGCATTAAGTCTGTTGTATCCAAGGCACATAATGAAAGAATCAAATCTCTTATACCAATACCTCGACGCCTGCTTTAGACCGTACAGAGATTTGTTCAACCTGCAAACCAATTTCTTCTTTTCTTTTTCTTCAAAACCTTCAGGCTGGAGCATATAAATTTATTCTTCAAGATTTCCATGAAGAAAAGCTGTTTTAACATCTAGCTGCTCTAGATGTAAGTCCAATGTAGCACACATTGCCAAAACTACTCGAACTGTTGTTAGTCAAACCACAAGAGAAAATATTTCATTGAAATCAGTACCTTCTTTTTTAGCATATCCTTTGACCACCAGTCTTGCACGATGCCTCTCAACTTGATCGTCACCATTTCGCTTGATTTTGAAGACTCGTTTGTTACCAATTGGCTTCCTTCCTTGTGGTAGTGGCACAAGGTCCCATGTATTATTTTTATAAAGGCTTCAATTTCTTCTTGCATCGCCATCATCCACAGTGAAGCATCTGAGTTGTTTATTGCCTCCTGGTATGTTGATGGCTCACCATCCTCTGTTAAAAGGCAGTATGCAATATTACCTTCTATAACATAATCCGAGTTCCAATTGGGACGTCTTCTCACACGATCTGATTGACGAGTTGTTGGAGCTTCAAAACTCTCTGGTTCTTGTTCATCATGTGCTGGTTCTGCTTCAGAAGAATCTCCTTGTTCAAACTCTTTTTCCACATGTATCTGAGTAGTCTCTGACTTTTCAGCGCTATCATCATCTTCTTTTCTTTGTAGTTTATTTTCTACAAAGATAACATCTCTACTGATGATCACTTTGCGGGCAGTGGGATCCCACAAGCGATACCCCTTTACTCCATCAGCATACCTCAAGAATTTGCATTTCCTGGATTTTGGATCCAACTTTGAAATTTCTTGGGAGTTGTACATCACGTACACTATACTTCTAAATACATGAAGGTTTGAATAATCAGCTGGCTTTCCAGTCCACATCTCCATTGGTGTCTTCAGCTCTATTGCAGTTGATGGAGCTTGATTCACCAAATAACAGGCGGTATTGACTGCTTCTGCCCAGAATGATTTTTCTAGGCCTGCATCCCTCAACATTGCTCTTGTTCTTTCTAACAAGGTTATGTTCATCCGCTCTGCCACTCTATTTTGTTGAGGAGTGTTTGCCACTGTGAACTGTCTTTTGATGTCTTCTTTCATGCAAAAGTCATCAAATTCTTCGCTTGTGTATTATCCTCCATTATCTGTTCTGAAACACTTGATCTTATTTCCAGAATCAAGTTCCACCTGCGCTTTGAAGTTTTTAAAAGTTGAAAACACGTCTGACTTCTTCTTAATAGGGTGCACCCAACATCTCCTGGAGTAGTCATCAATAACTGAGACAAAGTATTTTGCTCCACCTAGGGATGTTACTGGTGCTTGCCATACGTCAGAGTGAACCAATTCTAGAACACTTTTGCCTCTAGAATTTGATGTGTTGAATTTCAATCGGTGCTGCTTACTTGTTATGCAATGCTCACACAAAGTAAGTGATACTTTTGTTAAGCCTGGAAGTAGCTATTGCTCCACAAGGACTTTCATTCCTTGTTCTGACATGTGTCCAAGTTTCTTATGCCATAGCATTGCAAAATCTGAACTACATGAGGCAACAGAGGCTTCTGCTTCTAGCAATGTCTCTCCCTTCAGCATGTATAAGTTTGCAGCTATCTTTTCACCTTTCAGCACCACAAGCGCTCTACGGAACACCTTCATGATTCCTTTCTGTGTTTCAATCTTGCTAGCATTATTATCCAACAATGCGTAGGATAATAAATTTTTCTACAGACCTTTCATGTGCCGCACATCTCGAACAACTTTAATTGTTCCATCATACATCTTCAATTTGATGGTTCCCACGCCAACGATCTCTAAGGCATGATCATTGCAACTATACACAAATCCTCCTGAGACAAGTTCATAATGATGGAACCATTCTCTTCTTGAAGTCATGTGATATGTTGCTCCCGAATCAATGAGCCATATATCTGCAAATCGTTTTCTTCCTTCCACTGTGGTTGATGCTTCACAACATAGAGCATCTCCATCGTCTGAAGTGTTTGCGGTATTGCCTTGTGGATTGGAGTTTTTATTTAGACTCCAACAATCCTTCTTCAAGTGACCATTCTTTCCACAGTTGTAACACTTTAAATTCTTCTTGCTTCTCGACTTCGATCTACCATGTTTGTGACTGTTGCTTTAGCCATGTTCTGTTGATCTCCCTTTCATCGTTGTCAACGCTTCTGCTTGTTGCAGATTTACTTGTCTGTCTTCCTTGTTCTTGCGCCAATTTTCTTCTTGTAGAACAGCAGCTGCAACGTCATCGAAGACTAAACTGGTGACATTACTGTTTGTCAAGTTGATGATGAGTTGATCATACGAATCCGGTTCAGTGTATTTAAGTATTCCGTCACTGAAGTAGATTCTGGCATACGAAGAGTGTACAATTTTCTCTTAAGGAAAATTTTATTGTGCAGTGATGTGGCCTCGTACAGTTTGGTGAGATGATCCCATATCTCCTTAGTTATCTTCTTCTCCTCGATACTTGACAATACTTCATCTGCTAATGCTAGATGAAAGTTTGCCATAGCATTTCCGTCCATTTCGATCCATTTGTTGTTGTCTGTGAAATCTACTGGTCTTTCGCTGATAACTGCTAGACAACCGTCTTTCCTCAGGATGACCTTCATCTTCAATTTCCACAATGAGAAATTTCTCCCATTGAACTTTTCAATATCAAATTTTACTATTGTGAATAGTTCTCTGGAACCTTCAAAGAATGGGTAATAACTTCTTACTTTCTTATGTTGGAGGATCCACCTTTTGGTGGCAACCACAAAGACAATAAGCAGATATTATACACTCTAATCTGGCTCAGATACCAATTGTTGCGGAAGACGGCTATCAGATAGAGTAAAATCGCAACTAATAATTTGAGAAAATAAAAATAAAGATAAAAGAGACACGGAATTTACGTGGAAAACTCCTAAATAATATAGGGTAAAAACCACGGGCAACGGTAGAAGAATTTCACTATGAGAAAAATAAGAATTACAACCTCTCTCGATCTACCAAGAAGAAAACAATGATAATTCTCTCTTGATAAAAATGAGAAAACAACTCTCAAGAAACTCTCTAAATTCTCTCTAGTATTGAAAGAAAACTATAATACTTTGGGATGGTTTTGAAGCTAAATGAGCTAGGTTATTTATAGTCGAAGCTTTAAGGACTAATTTGTAAATACCCTAAATTACAATGACTAATTGCATAGTTTTACTATCCAAAAATTTTCAACAATTTGGTGGCCAAATTTAACCAATTTTACCACCCCATTAATGCCACCAAATTGCCACCCATAATATTGACTAATGATGCAATTTGGTGTGTCAATTTTCAACACTTTCCCGTTGACAAATCGGCATTCGGCAATAATCAAGTCAACATCAATCTGAAGTTTTATAGTATTTGCATGGAAATTGTAAGAAAATTGTTTTATCTGCTAAGCGATATAGCAAGAAGCAAATTGCTGAAAAACAAAACATTTTTTGTTTTCAAACAACACCAAGAGGCAATTATTTTTCAAGTCACAAGCAGTTTCCATTTGTCCAACTGCTTGGAAACTTTTAGAACTCCTAACTATGTCTTGAACGAGTCTGGCCGGCTTAACTTATTATTGGAAACTAATGGCGACAATTCCATCAAGCGTTTTGCAGCATTCTAATTATTTTTACTATTGTTTCTTGAGCTACCACGAACAAAAACCTGTGAAAGTTTATGTGAGTCGATTTGATATCAAATTTGACTTGAATTGTTATTTAAAAAAAATATATTGAAAATTTGAAGTATAAAAAGTCAACTAATTGAGTTCCGGATCATATTTTCTTTAGCTGTAATTTCTCCAAGGAGATTCGGCGTGCTGTGTTAGGTTTGTGTAGGTTGCAAAGAAATGTGTTTGACCGATAGGTGGAGCTTCTCTGGGCTACTTGGGTTCTGAAGGGTAAGTCCTTGATCACTAATATCCTTAAGTTGGCTTGAAATTTCTTTGTCTATTTTGTCTGGCGAGAGAGAAATTTAAGGGTTTTACAGGGGAAGCAGGCTACTGAACGGGCGCTGCTGCATGATATAAAGGAGGCTTTGAGGGATAGATTGGTGGGGGAGCTTGTGAATAGGGATAGTTCCATTAACTTTAATCTTTGTATAAACTGGGGGTGGTATAGGATTATTCTGTGTATATTTGGTTGATTTGTATAGGGTTAGTTGATTTGTTAATTGTTGTTGAGTGATGTTGTGTTGATTGTTTTTGTAGCTTCTTGCTGCGTTTTGGATAAATAAAACTACATCTATCCCCACACAAAAATAAAAAATCAACTAATAATGATACAAACCTACTCTAAAAAAATACTTACACAAACCTATAAATTATTCTTAGTTTCATTTGTAATCAACTCTTAACATTCATAAATTTTAGTTCACACCTTGTAATTTATTCATAGATCTCCCTTGATCATATTTCATTTAATTAAGCAATCTCTAGAATTGTTCTCTCCATCGACTATGGAGAAATTGTCAAAAGAAGAAGATGAAGATGAAGTTAGGATATGAAGAAGTCATTCAATGGTCTCCATTAAAATATGAGGGATTGACTTGATCATATTTCATTCACGGGCGTGCACTCACCTTACAGATTGTTGAACTGATTCAATTCTTTAAACAATATGTTGTACAGTTTCTTGTAGCAGATTTATCTGCATCTTTAGATAATGAAATGAAATACTAAAAAAAGGGTGAAGAAGAAACTATGTATAATAAGTTGCATTCTTTTCTCTGTTTTTGGTACTAAGCCTTTTGATATACAATAACATGGTATTCGATTATTTATTGATTTAGTTGAAGCTTATTAAAAATAAATTTAAATGATGTCATTACGCTCAAATCTTTTTCATGAGAGGGAAATTAGAAAACATCGATATTCATGGCATTGAATTATCTCTGTTTACTAGTACTGTTCTTCATGAGATAATTAAACACCACGAAAATGAATCCTCAACTCCCCAGTCCCATACGAACATTAGCACCAGTTTCCTTTACCCATGCACCATCTAAGAATGTTTCTACTGTATATCTCATGGCTTCTTCCCTGTTAATATCCCTTCTCCCTGCCCACTTCACTCTACGGTCAGTTCTCGCGCCAGGCCCCGTGTTGTTAAACTCTCCGTAGAAAAGGGTGTTGAGTGCAAAGTCGCCTTGCCATTCAAGCCATCCAGCAGGGTCAATGAAGCCCTCGATCAGTGATTCCATTATGATGGTCGTCGAGTATAGCTTCCAGGGCCTGCCTAGGTAGCTCTTGAATTGATTTGCGACTGGTTTAAATGGTGCTTCTGGTAATATCTTACAGTTTTGTAGCACAAAGCCGGTCGTTTCGTACTTGTCTTTCCTCCCTTGGGCTGTGATGATGTTCTTTTGGTTGGGGTTGGGTTGTCTAACGTAAATCAAACAGTTCTGGAACACGGCGGCCGCGTCACCGAAGATGAAATCTATGGTGCCGGTGACCACGCAACTTCGATAGAACTGGCGGTGAGTATGCGCGTATAAGGTGTCTTGGAACCCCTCGAAGCGACAGTTAAGGAAAACCGCCTTATCGCCGGAGACTCTCACTGCCACTGCTTGATGTTTGTCGGGCCCCGCAGTGTTTCTGAATCCCATGCTTTTTGCCATAAATCCAGGAGCAGCAACCACTGAAACAAAAACAAACAAAAAAACATCTCATTATATTTCAAAGTTGAAATGAAAATGAACAAGTTTCTGAATTATGAGTTTAGTTCCAAAGGTTAAAGTCATCGTCAACATACCGAAAGTTGCGGTATGGTAAGTGGGGATTCCATCAATAAAATTTTTATCCCCTGTGATAATGGACTTCTGTGATCCTTCACCATACATGGTAAGGTTCACCATCTTCTTTGTAATGATTACAGTCTCGGCATATACTCCTTTCTTGACAAATATCACATACCTGTATGCAAGTTGAAAGTGGATTAATGCAAATATTTATGAATAAGAATTATGATGAAAATGATCAAGTGAATTCAACGATGGATCATTATTATATATATAGCACACCTTCCTTCATATTTTGGTGGCATGGCAGCAAGAGCTTCATTAATTGTTCTGAACATTCCGGTACCGTCTTGTGCCACGGTTACATTTGGTTTTGGCATGTCATCTTCCTCTTCGTTCAACAGCCTGCGTTCTTCATCGTTTATCCAGCTGGGAAGCCCATCCTTGGCCAACAACGGAAATCTGGTTTGTAAGAGGCTACGTTTAAGGGTTGGCTTCTCCTGATGTGGATTCATCAATCCATCCAATTCACTAACCACGGCAAGGGAATTGCTAGTATAAACCTCGCTACTGTTGAGGGTAGTCCCGAACTGGAGCTTCAATGGTCCCTCAGGGAAGCTATCAACACACGTTTCCTGGTACGACATTACAGCACTTAACCAACTGGTCAAGTCCCCATCGGTTGGTTGCTTCCCTGGAACAATTGTTCCCATTCTATCAACAGAACTCTGTAATTCTTCCTTGGCATTTTCCATCACTTCTCTACAAACATCAAATGCTCTTATTTCCAATTCGGTATGCAATACGATTGTGCTGGCTTTAGAAAAGGCCTTGTCAAGTTCTTCGGTCGTTGATGTGATGAAAGACTTGACGAGTTCTTTGGGTTGAGTCACCAAATTTGGATTCTGTGCTATTGTCTTCGCAAGGGTGTCCGAACATAAGCTCTTGTAAGTTGTACCCTCGCAAAACGATGTCACTAATTCTTTGGGTGCTGCTGATGGAGCCAGAGCTGGAGCAGGTGCTGGAGTTGGTGGATGTGATGGTATTGGTGCAAGTAATTGAGTTAGAGATGATGTTGTTGGTAAAGGTGATGGAGATGATGGAGATGATGGTATTGGTGCAGGTAATAGAGGTAAAGATGATGGTTTTGGTAAAAGTGATGGAGATGGAGATGATGGTATTGGTAAAGGTGATGGAGATGATGGTACTGGTGCAGGTAATGGAGGTAGGGATGATGGTGTTGGTGAAGGTGATGGAGATGGAGATGATGGTCTTGGTAAAGGTGATGGAGATGGAGATGATGGTCTTGGTAAAAATGATGGTATTGCAGGTGATGGAGATGATGGTATTCGTGCAGGTAATGGGGGTAGCGATGATGATGTTGGTAAAGGTGATGGAGATGGAGATGATGGTATTCGTGCAGGTAATGGAGGTAGCGATGATGATGTTGGTAAAGGTGATGGAGATGGAGCTGGTGTAGATGATGGAGGTTCTGGAAATGGAGCCGGAGCTGGTGTAGATGATGGAGGTTTTGGAAATGGAGCAGGAGCAGGAGATGGAGCTTTTGGTGATGGCGCTGGAGCTTTCGTAGCTTTGGGAGATGATGGTTTTGGAGGTTTTGGCGATGATGGTTTAGGAGAAGGTGGTGGGGTTGCTGGCGGGGTTGATGGAGGAGGTTGAGCGTTTGATTTATTCTGGTCGCTGTTATTATTATCGCCCTTGTTCTCCTTTTTGTTACTATTTTGGGTGCTACTTTTCATAGAAACAAAAGCCATGGCAATCGCCGCCGCAATACCAGCAAGGACTAAGATAGACAAGGCAATGGTTACCCTCTTTTTGAGTACCCGTTGTCTCTCCTGTCTCCGACGTTCTTGTATAAAATCAAAATCTTGAAACACCATTTTTATCAATCTTTGGCTGAGGCAGTGAGATCTCTCTGCCTTAGTTTCAAGCCAAGGCAGAGAGGGGAATCAAAGAAACCCAATAACAATATATATTCCTATGTCTCTTCCCTTGTCACCCTTCTACTTGTTCGGATTTTCAGGTTCAATCTTATTGCAACGGATGATACAAATGGAGTCTGGACAAGAGAAGTTTTAGGCACCCTATTCTAATGAATGATACACTTTTCCTCTCTCCTAACTGCATTTCCCTCCATTTTTATCATTGACTTTGTGCTTGAGTTGCTTTCAACCGTATGCTAAAAATGGCTGCTGTGTTAAATTAGCTTCAATTTTAGAATATTAACTCCAAACATGGGAAAACACACGTTTTTCTTTGTGGTTCTGGTCGACTTTATAAACTAACTTGTTACCTATCCGCACTTGCTTGTCGGACGAATTCCGGGTCGATTATTAAGATGAATGCATGAAAAAGGGGAAAGTTCATACTTCATTCATATACTTGTTAGTTAATCGTCTTAAGAATTTATCTAAACTTCGACATTACTCAAAGATCAAGCGAGAAAGGAAAGCCGGTGGCGTTTAACCAATTAGCTCCGGCGATAAAATTCCGAGCAGTATAGCTTTGAGCCTCCGAAACATTGGTGATCAAACTATACCCCGTCCATGTAACCCTACTCGACGTGTTTGCGCCAGGGCCAGTGTTTTGATACTCCCGATATGTCAAAGTGTTCAGTGCAAAATCACCATTCCATGGGAACCAACCAGCAGGATGAATAATATCACTTATAACAGATTGCATGATAACGGTTCTCGAATATTGCTTCCATGGTCTCCCTAAATAGGTAGAAAAATTGGCCTTCACGGCTTCTAAATCATGTGTAGCACCGATCCTGCATTTCTGGATCACCAGCCCCGTGTTCTGGTTCGGATCATCGCGGCCTTGTGCAGTGACCATGTTCCTTTGGTTTCGATCAGGTCGACGAGCATGGATGTCGCAGTCTTGGAATACTGCTGCTGCATTTCCGAATATGAAGTCCACGGTACCTGCTATAAGGCATTCCGAATAGAACTGGCGAAGGCTGTGGCAATAGAGCGTGTCCTGGTACGCCAACATGTCACACCTGTAGAATGCTGATAAGTCTGATCCAACGCGCAGTGCCACGGCTTGGTGCTTCGATGGTCCAGCCGTGTTCTCAAATGTTATGTCCCTGGCCAAGAACCCGTCCCCCACAGCAGCTGCAGTAATGTTTAAGATAATACAAATTGTTCAATATTCAAAATGGCATGTTCAAGTTCTCATTATTTCATTCAAAATTTTAAACGGATTACTCACCGACCGTGGAAGAGTTGAAAGTGGTGCTGCCATCAACGACATTTCTGCTAGCAGTGATGATGGTGTTGACCCTCCCATCTCCCACGAACATGAGATTGGTTTTCCTCCTTGGAACATCCACGTTTTCCCTATACACTCCAGCTTTAATCTTTATAATGTACCTCGTCTTGCTTCTCTCCGGCGCAGTAGCCACTGCTTCAGACACTGTGAGGAAATCACCACTGCCATCAGCCGCCACGTTTACGTTAGGAGTCACTGTTGTCGCCTGTAGTAGTCTCCTATCTCCCGCCGACAACCATTCAGGCCACTCTGTTTCGCCTTGCTCCTTAAGTTGCCTCCCTGATGATGGATGACCCTTGCTTCCCATGTCCGTGTCGGTCAAGTTCTTGATCATTGCCAGGGCATTGCTGCACATACGGAAAACATGCATCTGCCCATCGAGTATCGCTTGCCTCACCTTTTAATACCAAGACAATGTAGTCAATAGTTAGTTTACTCAAAATATCAGAAACACAAATGTGAACTACTAGTATGGTTGAGTATATATAACCTTTTTATCAGCAGCATCGTGAGAAAATCCATCGAGGCAAGTTTCTTGGTTGGTCATTGCAGCACTAAGAAGGCTCTTGAGATCATCAGCGTGTTGAGAAATTGACTTTTTGAAGTCGGGATAATCTACGAGATCTTGTTCAGCTTTGAATAGCTCATCCAAAGTTTCATCCTCTAGCTCGAGACAGTCATAAAGGGCGGTCATTTCGCGCTTCGTGAGGCTCTTCCGGCGGGTACTGATGAGCTTCTTGATGGATAAATAGTTTCTCTGGACAGCACTTACCGTCAAGTTCAATGACAATTCTATAACATCCTTGGGGTTCTTGATCTTGGTCTTAGCATCTCGGGCTGAAGAAATTGTTGAGAAGCATAACTCTGGGTAAAATGTGGCGCTACATGAAGATTTGATGATGGAGTGAGCTGCTGCAGTGTTATTGCTGTTTTCGTCGCTTATTTTCTTTTTGGAAATGGTGGTGGCAATGGCAACGATAGCAGTAACGAGAAGGATAGACGCAATGAGAGCCAAGAAAAGCTTTTTCCTACGCCGGGATGTCACAAATCCAGCACCACCGGAGATGGACATTTTCGACGGCAGCCAATGACTAGAGCTGGAAGCTAAGTCTTACGGGAAATTATGAAGAGAAATGATAGTATTTTGGTGCTATTAAATACTAGAAGATGAGGGGGGTCAAGACTCAATATTTGTAAGTTTAATAATTAGTAGATGTAGTTGTAGCGTCAAACACGATATTTGCTAAATTTATTGTTTTAGAGAGGACAAATTTATATTGCACTCTTGTATGGATTCTTTATAGAATTGTTTAGTGAGTTTTATTTTTAATAAAAATATTACTGTAAAATGTTTTGCTTTGATAGTGGGACAACAATTCTTTTATATGCAACGGTAACCGACATCAGGAAGCACCAACACAGGCTAAGCCTCGTTTTGCGGATCAGTACTCAGTTACCGTTATGTTTTATAATTACAAATAAAATTTTATACTAATATTGATTAAGAATTAAAATTAATATTTACACAAAATTTATGTGGTCAAATTTTGTTCCTAATCTTTTGTAATCTGCATTGACTGGAAATGTAGTATTGGGACCAACAGCACAGCAGTTGAAGTCTCATGGTTGTCTGCTGGAAAGAACGAATTTGAATATGCCGCGATGGCTCTAAAAAGAATCAGGTCAACCATTTAACTCTTGTTTTAGATCCTTAGTTTCTGACAACCCTCTGTGCATTTTCATGATGCCTTTATCAATAGTTATATCTTCTAGGTATTAATTGAATTAAATGTCTGAACTTCAATTCCTCAATGAAAATTTTCATTTAGGCTATTGTACTTCAGAATTCCAACTCTTCTAACGAGCAGCAAAACTATACATTTGATCATACTTGACCTCTACATTTTGCTGAAAGGTCAATGGAAGACTACATTCAAGCATCTGTTGGTATGAGTAACAAAGGGAAACTATTTGTGCCTAAATTGTTGCATTGCTTTGCCAAAGAAGTGGAACCTTTTGTCGACTCTTAACACCACAGCAGGCTTCCATGGTTAGAGGCTGCTCATCACGTAATAAGTGGAACCTTCTCGGTGCTGGGAGCTTCTATGTCCTACCTTTTGATTCAAGGTTTCGGTTTCTCTTCCCATTGGATGGTGATGGGAACTCATTTTCGTATACGTCATAAGACCAATCATGCTTATAACTAAATCAGACAGGCAATTCTTCAGCAAGCTGTTCCCATGTCTGCTGCCCTGTAATGTGTAAAGCGATCGCATTGTATAGTTGTTATGCTTTCCGGCCATGAAAATTTTCAAAGCCAAGAATCCACCTTTCTCTATGGCAAGGATTAAACTGAAATTTCTTTAGAATGTCCATTTAATCAGAGCAAATGTAAGAGTCGTAAAATAAGATTTTTTTTCTTCAAAAAATTTAAAAGAAAAAGAAAACAGAAGTACCCATATTAAATGGCAAAATTTTCTTAAAATGGTAATTAAATAATTTTTCACTGATCCCTGTAAGCAGTCAGACCATACAAAAATTAAATAAAATGTCAATTTACAACCTTCTATTTTTCTTAATCGGATAACTTTAATTCTTAACTGATACCTATAAGCACACGGACCTTGCCCCCAAAAAAAGTGAATTTTCAACTTATTTTCTTACCCCAACAATAATTCATGCCTATGTTCCTATGGAATGTGCAGCAACGCTGAAAATCATTCCGCAAAAGTTTCCTAACAAAATACTTTGTTAAAACTCTTCAGGTAGGAGGGCTTTCAACTGCACCCTAAAAAGATCACCAAGTGCTCCACGAACATCCATCTGAAGAAAACAAAGTTTCAATTGGTTTTCAACACAAAGAATGAGATGCGAGTATGTGGATTATCTACTAGTTTAGAAACATCAGCGAACTTGTTTCACATCACTTGTTACAACAAAAGATTAATAAATAAAAAATGGTGAAGATATGAAAATCGCCTGACATTTTTTTTATAGGAATTGAAGGCCTCGTTAAAAACCCCATTCTTGACTAAAGGAGCTTATAGAGAAGCTCCTTAATCAGCGGAAGGAGGAAAAAAGTGCCTAAAGATTTCATTAACCAAAATAAATTACATAAGATACAACCAGATAAACACCCCCAACATAACCAAAAAACCAAAAAAGAACCGAAGACAACCCTATACAACAGAACTAGCTCTGAGGTGTTTCTCTTTAACCAAATCTACTCAATATTGATGAAGTCGCTTCAAAATTTAGTTAATATTGCTCTAACAATATCGGTGGAAGACTCATAGCAGAGAAATACATTAATCAATTACACCGAATCAAAATATGTTTTTAGTAAATGATAATGCCACAGCACTATAGAACTTTTTTTTTTATAGGAATAGTAGGCCTCATTAAAAAACCCTTTCATGATTAACGGAACTTGAAAATAGTTCCTTAATCAGCGGAATGAGAAAAAGAGTGCCCTAGGATTTCATTAACCTCAAATAATAACAAAGTAAAACAAGGTCTAATCTCCCTCAAGAGATAGAAAACCAAAAAGAAACAACCCTTAACAGAACATAATTATCAACCAATACCAGCCTTAGCTAGGACATCCGCCTCTATATTGGCTGTCCTACTAACCCATCTAATAAGACCTTCAAAAACACTAAGCTTTTGAAGTTTTAAGTATGATAGATTTGCAGTTTTAAGTGTTATATCACTATATTTTAAGAGCCCTATAATCAAAGTAAATAAAACTGTTCATGCATTGCATACAATCTTGCTACGAGAAATCGATTAGGACTAGGGAAGATTTACCTGGTCACAGCAAATAAGTTTTGTAAGCAAAGGATAGAACACCCCAAGGTTATTCCTGAAAATCTTATTGTCCATGAAGCACATGCCGTTAAGCACCTGAAAGAGGAAAATGGACAGATTCCTGATTACAGCGGAGATTAATAGAAGTCGCAAGAGCAAAGAATCAAGTTGGCAAATTAACAATTAATATGACTCCAATAATGAGGCGATCACAAGGAAAACAATCTGATCAATAGAAACAGAGTTATAAGATAATTCAACCACTGAAAGAATGGCAATAAGGTAGGCATTCACTTCAACGCACTAATAGTTCAACAGGTCTACAGAAGAGACAGCAAAACAAAAGAAAAATGACTAGGCCTGATTAATACAAGTGGGAAAGGGAAAAGGACGAAATTGATCTGCAGTGTTTTTCTCAGCCAACATCAATGTTTGAAAATATACTGATACAGCCATTCATGGATTTGCACTAATATGACTTTAGCAAAGGCTATATTGTATTATTGTTTCATAGTAAGGCATACAAATTAGGAAGCAACTAGACATTCTTTATACCTTAACAATAATTGGAGACTGCAACTCCAGAACACGATGAATATCCACCGAACTAGTTTCCCCTATCTTAGACTGGAGGTCAGATGTGTCCCTGAGTACCTGCGCACAGAAAGAGACCAGCTTCTCTTCTGCTATTACTTCTAATTTTGTTTCCGCATAAGACTGTTCAGCCAATCTTGAACCATTGTTGTCTGAAGATATATCACTATCCTGGGAACTATTGGGTTCTATATGTTGCCCAATATTGTCAGTAAATCCCGAAGTTGTTTTGCGCAAGACATCCAAATAAATGCATGTTCCTGCCAATTCCTGGCGAAGAAGATTTAGAGGGGGCCTGACGAGATATGAAGTTATTAGAAAGCCGGATTCCTCCCAGAACCGATTAGGTGATGATAAACACTGAAATCAGGAGATGTGATTTTTCTTACCTTTCTGCAGGAATGTGTTGCATACGTGTTCTCAGGTTAGAATATGAATTATATGATGCAGCAAACTCTACCAAGGATAACAAAACGTCCATTATGGCAATCTTCTGAGGTGCTTTCAAATTCTCCCAGTACTTTTTCTGCCAGTTCAGACATATTTTAATCAGTAAAAAATTATAGAAATATACCACATGACGAAATGTCCAAAGATGCAAACCTGAATGCCATCGATAGCACCTAGAATCATTAACTGAGTAATGCACTTGCCCCTAACATTTTCCATAAGCGGGCTTTCCTCCTCATCCTTGGCTTCAGGTTCAACAGCCTCAGGAGGCTTGAGAAACATTAGATGAAATAAACAAGGGGTGAGTAAATTAAATAAAGGATAAGGCATATTACTTCAGTCACATATGACATGCATAAATGAAGATGTGGCATATTCCCTCTGCCACTTTACATTTGATCCTTAAATAAAAATAGCTTTTAGCAAGCAAAGATTTCTGTAAACATAAAACAAGCTGAGTGAAATAAGTAATTTTCCTTTCTTTTTTCTATAACGAGTGAAATAAATAAGCAAGCAAATCTTTTTAAAGGCTTATGTGAACCTATGCTCCAATAAAATAATATTTGATACTGGTGGAGTGTGGAGACTGATAATCAAGAACATCTCCAGAGATATGGGAACATTAAACACCCACAGAAAGGAATTGCTAACCACCAAACAGCACAACTAAAGATGACTTGCTTACCTTTAGTGGTGAAGAAGGAACTGGAATATCTGATGTACCACTCTTTGATTTTGCAGAACGACTTCTAAGAAATAGGTTATCCATCATATTCCCCATGATTCTTTGACCTATCGTTTGACTTCGTTGGAGACTCGCAGCTTCAGCAGATTTCTGAGCTTTATATAATGGTGAGGGAATACCTACATAACAACAATGTATACATTCAAAAGGTTTGCTAATGAACAAATTTCAAATGAATGGATTGGGCTGTTTCAACAATAGCATAAAGCTCTTCCCTTCGCTCATAATATGAAAGAAAACCAGACATCAGAATAATATCAGAGTAGAATTGAACTTCTTCTAAAAGTTTGGAAGACTTCTGCAAACTGATTCCAAATATAAATGGTATAAACTGATGACAGATACAGCTTCCCAGTTATCTAAAGTTTAAGCAATAGCAATGGGAACAGCTAACCTTCAGATCCATCTGGGTTAGATTGTAACTCAGATTCTTGATTGTGATCTTGTGAAAGCGATGCAATAGTACCCCTTTTGCTTCTACCAATGCCAGAACTTGAGGATGCAAACTGTGAAATGTTCCCATTATCAGTAGAATCAAACTGCTGGACCTCACCACCTGTATGAGCCTTTAAATGTCCTGGTAAAATTGAGGTGTTCATTGGATTCTCTAGCCCTGACGCATTGAGTAGTTCAAGTGGTTGTGTTGTGTATGATGCATCTCTGGTGATAAAAAAAAGTAAAGAAAATACATAAGAATAGCAATGCAAATTCCAATCGTTCCGTATAACTAACAAATATTAATTCTAATTGTCAAAAAATATGAACTATTCTCAAACCATAAGACATACAGACCTTATGCTCTTCAACAACATATCCCAGTCACTCTCACTGAACTGGTGTCCGCCAACCTCTATGAGATGCACCAACGCACCAAGAGAAATTGAAACCACAGTCTGATCTGTCTTTTTAGCACATTCCAACAGCAAACTCAAGAGTGGCGACAGCATAAAGCCAACCTCCTGTAGAACAAAAAAATTCAAGCTACCAATAATTTATGTACTTTAGATGATATTTGGTTTCCTGTCACAAAAACCTCAACTATCCCCTCCAAATTAAATCACACAATAATACAGTTAAGAGGACCATTAAAACTACGCTACCTTGTAAAAAGTGTTGAAAAGGTTGCACAGCAACTGAAGTGAGTGAATGCTATTTTCACGAAGCCACTCATCTCCAGAGGAAACTAAGTTCTCCTTTCCAGCATGTCTCACATGATCAAATATGGGAAACAAGGCACGATGGAAAATGCTTTCCCAAAATGGAGTTGAGAACTTCCTACCTCTTTCATTAACCAAATCAAACAAAACTTCAAGCGCACAACTCCTAACCTCTGGTCTTGAATCTGATGTTAAATCGGATAAACCAGCCAGCATTGGGAACCAATAATACTCAGCTACATCAAATGCTGCACCAGTATTAACATCAGTCAGTTTACGAGCCCCACCAGGAATATGCCCCTGTAATTGAAAAGTATATGTCCATTACAAACATTGTTTGAAATATGTCCATTAACATCAGGAATATGTCCATTACAAAGAAAATAATGCATCAGAAATTGAGAAGATTCACAAACATTGTTTGAAAAAAGCACTGAGAGCAAGCAGTTAATCTGATCCTCTTTTTTTTCTCCAAGGACAATGAGCTCATATAAACCTTCACAGTATCAAGCAAAACTAAAGCATACTTATATAAAAAAGACAATACACAGACTCTCGTTCGAAGGGCTTGTGACCATGACTGGTTTTAGATCATAAAGAGAATATTTCAATTAAAAGCCCTTCTAAAAAAAGTTTAGAGATTCAAAAAGTTAGAAGAGTTTCAAAAATAAATTTCGCTTCCAAGCACTGTTAGCAACTAATTGGTAGTGGGAACTTTCTTCATTGAGATTAAAGACACTTTTATCATTGAGATGCTCGATTGAATTTTTGCTTTTAGACCTTATATTGGAGCTTTTGCAGTATTGTGGAATTTTTATTCTAGAAGTTACCATCCTTCCTGAGCTTTGAAGCAACAAGTTTTCAGTCCAGGAATTTCAAAGCTAATTCCAGAAACACGCGAATAAAGACAATACTAAATCTTTTGGGTACTGAATACTTAAATCTTCAGTAGTTCATATGTTCAGATGTTGTTCTACTTTTGGTGGTGGCCAGCTATTCTCCTATAGCTGTGAGGAGCAACTGATATTTTGGGTCTTAAAGCAAATATTTTTATTTTGAGGGGAAAAATATTCTGTAAAACTGATGTGGATGCCTTATTTGAAAGCAATATCAGAGAAGGAAGGCAATAAATATATAGAGGGCAGTAAATTAGAGTTTTATTTGCTTCCTCTATTACGTTAGATCATTCCTTTATAACTTTAGTCTTGCTAGTCAAGATCCTATATGTTAGGGATCTTTATTTTATTTCCATTAGGATTATTTCCTTTGTCACTAAAGGCCTATTAAAGGCTGCCAATATTGAATAAAGAAGACAAGCAATTACTCTATTAAGAAAAATGTTATTCGTAGAGGGGGTTCTGTCAAGGATGAATCTGCCTTCTGATTAACCATAGGTCAGAGAAGAAATTCTTCCACGTCTAGACCCGTGACTAGATCCTATGCTAAGGCTCATAACAAAAACATTCAAATCTTATTTCTTACAAGAGCTACTTTATGAAGCAGATCACTATGTTTTTTTGGCTTATTAAGTCAGGGAAACACTTTTAATTGTTGTACTTATTGCTCAATGCGTAGGTTTCAGAGTAAGAACTATTTGCATCGGTTGAGAGACTCCAACCCATAAAGCTAATTGAAAATTTAGGATGAGAATCTTCAAAGAACATGATTAAATCTAATGGATTTCTTTTGATCACGTCAAAAATCATAATATGCAGAGCATAAAGGCTGCTGTAACATAAGAAATAAATGTATTTTAGGATATGTAACAACCTAAACACAGGCTCAACCCAGTTACTCTCTGCAAGTATTTGCCTACATAGACAAAAGTGGCAAGAGTAGACCAAAAAGAAACCTGGTCAACCATCCCAACCTAAATTAACTAAAGTTCAACAACCCAAAGCCAAAACAGCCAGAAGCGGACTTGTCTGATTCTGGCCAGTTGCCAACCTTATGAAACAAACTTGCTTAAATAATAGCAAGGATATAAATGCAAGATCGGTTCAAGATGTTGGTCAATGTGTTAGAAGAGAATAAAGCATTTTTCTAGAAGAGGGAGAATAAAATGATGAAAGCTACTTTTTATAGAAAAGGACAGAACTACGTGATCAATTAAAAATCAAGCTGAAGGACAGGGAAAAAGAACCTCTGCAAGACGATTTTCACATATACGGAGAAGGGCAACAGCCTTCAAACTTATGTCGTGGGAAGTTTTATTGTTGGCAAACCTAATAAGACAGTTGATGCAGTCCATAAAACAATCTCCAACAACTTGATCAAACTGTTCCAGTATAACTGCAAAGAACAAGATGTTAAAATAATTGGAAAAGAAGAGAAGCATCATGTTGGTAAAAGAAAAATGAGATTTTCTTACTCTGTTCAACATTCTCAAATGCCTTCTCAATAATTGATTCAAAACCATCATCTGCAGCTGCAGTGAAAATCATAAAAATACTTTGCCATCCGGACTTTATGCTAGCAACTTTTGATTTTATCAGCTGCAATAACACCATTACCAGTCAAGGTGTCACCCCAATGGAATAAGACAAAAACTTACAGCTAAAGGTTTATGATTAAAAATTTATTAACTTGAAAATATGTAGATAAAGGTGGGAAAAACAGAAGCAAGCAAGAGGACTAGATGTTCAGGAAATCTGAGTAGGCACACATACTTGAACAATGCAGTCCACAATAAGGCTCCTTGTGGTTTCACTTTGACTATTCCGCATAAGTACAACAAAAGGCTTAAGGATATCATTTTGGAAAGTAAAATTGGTCAGTTCAGTGTGCTCCAAATACTTCATACCAAGCTGCCTCAAAGAATCTATGGCATATACAGCAACCTTCTCATCAGCATGGCTGCCAGCAGAAATAAAATGATTTGCGAGTACAGTCCATATTCTAGCCCAGACCTGTAGCCATATTATTAAAACTTTTTAAATGTAAACCAGTATGTACTTTAGCAGGGAAAAGCAAATGGTTTTCAATCTATTAATCAATTCATAAACTAAAATTAGATTCCACTAAATCAAAATAACAGCTGATGACTGATCAAATTAGACATCTTAAACTAACTCATTACTAAAAATAAAAGGCTCTTTTCTTTTAACTATTGTAACTTTACATGTAATGTTGATTCATTGACTTGATTCTTTTTTCAGAATATTCTCCACAATCTATCAAGTGCCATGGAAAAAATACATGCAATTTGTAAACCATTTTCCTCAATAACCAGAACTATTAAAAATGGAATGAAAAGAAATTTGAACTAAGAAAGTTAATTGACATTCAACAATGGTCAGATCATCATTTTGAACAATCCTTTCTCTACTATCCTACGTGCTGCTCCTTAACATTCCATATGCCTGTCCATTGAAGTGATGCAGATCCTAATCCACATGATAAGGTTCAAGGTTCAAAGAATGACTAGCCATTAAATCTTGATAATAATTACAAACATGAACAAGAGGGCATTGTAGCTCGGTCAGTTTAAAGAAAGTACCAATCGTATACGAGCAATATTGTAATAACTGATCTCAACAGCCCTTTGCAAGCTGAAAACACGAGCTGGAACTTGTTTTAGTTCTTCTGCTGATACACCACATAGAGCAGTGAAGAACTCCACAACAGAATCACTAGGCAATTTTTCACTACTCAAAAAAACCTGTTCAGCTGGTTTCCCAGCCTGTTCTTTCAGTGCCTGCACAACAGCCTCCTTGGCGACCTGATTTAGTCCATGCATGACAGTTGCAGCAACAGCGGGGGTTGTTGTAATATATTCAAGCCGAGAAACGCATTCAAGAACAGCATTCCATGTGTCTTGAAGACAGTCTGGTTCTACATCACATAATTCCAATAGAGTCCGCAATGCTTCCACATTTTTAATACGCATTTCCTTTGGCGAATGCAAGAAAGTGAACCTAACATCCAAAAATTAACATATCAAGAATTACAGCTAAGCTGTTCCCCTAGGGTTAAGAGTCTTATAATGACCAGACATGGACTGCCCAGTTAAACAAATAATATAATAATGATTGATGCAAGGGCTTTCTGACATCAGGAGCGGTATTTCTTTAAAAAAAAATAGAGAAACCAGACAAGTTAAGAAGAAACAAAGCAAGGGTTACAAAGGGAGATGAGGGAAAGGAACTAGGTAAATAACAGCAGCAAGAGGTGCTTTTCAAGTAGAACAAGACAGCAGTACCTGATCAGAGATGTTACGAAGGCAAAGCGCATGGTATCCATTCCAAGGGCATATGTGAGATGTACCCCAGCTCTAAATCCTTCCATACAAAGAACAACCATTGACTTGTCTTCACTTTTCTCCATTGTAACAGAGAAGGTAGCCAACAACGGCCATCCTACAGCTTCAACCATGGGGCTCACAAGTTCAATCTCTTGTGCAGTGTAAAAAACCCCTCTGCTTGCTCCTTGGTTCCAGATAATAGCCTGCGTCTGCTTAATTATTGCTTCACTTTTGGACTTAGCATCACTTGATGCCTTTGTTTTAGGGAGAGACAGTTTGAGGATACTAACAAGGTGGCCTCTCTCTTCATCCTCTGGCTTTTGCTTGTCATCTTTCCCAATGCCAGCAGCAGCATCTTTCATTTTTACCTCCTCTTTAACAATAGAATCATATATCTCTTCCAGAAGTTCAGCAGGGGCACACACTTCTGGGTCATACGTGGTATTCATACGAGTAAAATCTGACTTTGACATTTTAGGCCAGACCATTGGGTTATGAGCATCAGTATTCAACATAATAACTGCATACGCGAGAACATATGCGGTGCCTGCATTCTTGAAAAGACCTGGATTATCAGCACAATACCTGTAAAACACAAAATGAGACAATTTACTCTTCTATGAACCATTTTATTATGTTATAAGGTGAATTTTCTTCTAATACAATTGTTAGCGTCCACTTATTATACACTACACACCTCTTTGCATAACTAATAAAATGGTAAAATGACATTTGACTCTTATTTGCATTGGCTAAACACCCTTGTTGTGGATTTGATGAGAGGGGGGGTTATACAACTTTCAATCTAAGATTAAAAAAAGAAGTATGCAACAAATGAATGTTTGAAGGATGCTTCAGATATTCATCGAATGATGATTCCCTTTTCGAAGAATGTTATGTTGCCATAATTAAATTCCATACTTGTTTTTATATTTTAAGCACAATGCACCAGCATGGAAATCCCCGTACCTTTCTGCAAACTTTTCCATGATTCGATCAATCTTTTGAGCCTCCGCAGGAAGATAGAATCCTTTAAGAAATTCACGTATTGCAGTATCAAACTTTATTCCTGAAAAGGTAATTGAATCTACATAAGCATGCATGACAGCAATGGAAAACTCCTCCTGTTGACCTAGATAATCACCGATCATTGCCTGCAACAATGCGATGAGTTAGACCACTTCTCGAGGATTTGAGAAAAGTTTGTCTTTAGATAAGAGCACTACCTTGTCCAGACTGGGAGTATTTCTCAGCAATCGGGCAACTGAGGCAGGAGAATTTTCCACCAATTTATTTGATATCAGATTCTCAATACCCTTCACCGGTTGCCTGTTGAACTACAATATAATTAAAACTATGTTTTAGTGCCTAGTTACAGTCTAAGAAATTAAGAATGGATTAACAATAATTCACAGTATCATATTTTACATTGCAGAAAACTTCCAGTCTAAAATGATAAATTGTTAATTGAAAATCCCTTCCAGTGAAAAAAAAAAAAGATGAGAGAGAGTGTCTTAGGTGGTCAGTCTTCTGGTGAGGATTGGATGGTGTTTGTAGACAATCTTAGTAAGAGAGTCACTTGGAGAACATTAAAGGATATTTTTCGTCAGCAGGGTAGTGTTACGCGAGTTTACATCCCGAATAATTTTAACAAGCCAAATTATAGAGATCATACGTTTGCGTTCGTTCAGTTTGTGAAGGAGGAAGGAATGAAGAAGGCGATAGCGAATGTCAATGGTATTTGGATAGATGGGAAGAAAGTTTCGGTAGGTGCAGCTAGATATCGGAGGCAGAGCCATAGGCAAACTGTAAGTAGAAATCTCAAAAAAGATGATGATAAGGTGTTTAAGAGAGCGAACGGGAAAAGAAAAGTTGAATCTGAGTCTTTCAATTGTATGAGGGATGAAAGATCATATAAGGAAGCATTAGCATCGTCTGATGGGTTGAGGGAAGATCCGGCGAGTAAAAATAGTAATGAGGGTCATCTTAGTAAGGATGTTGGAATGAGAAATCTGTGGGAGATGCATTTACCCTCAGCTAAATGGGATTGGGTGAAAAGATCATTGACTGGGATTATTAAAACCCATTTTGATCTGGAACTAGTACTGAAGGGGCTGGCTAGTGAGGGGATTAAGGTTGAGGGTGCTAAATGGGGATATACAAGGAACTCATGTATCCTAACTTTTGATTCGGTGGAAGAATTTAAGGAAGCGTGGTCAAGCAGATTGGAGAAATTGTCCTTTTGGTTTGATTGGATTGATCCGCTTTTGAATGATGAAGGTATTCCGATGGCCTTTGGTTCGGTTGACCTTGTTGGTATTCCATTATTATGTTGGAATGTTTCTTTTCTGGAAAAGCTTGTTTCAAGGTGGGGGAAGCTTGTCTGTATCCACGAATCAACAGCAAGAAGAAAGGACATGGCGGTGGCAAGGGCTCTGTTGACGGTGGCCAGTCCTTTTTGATATTCAGGATTATGTTATTTTGGGTTCGTATGGGAGATCTTTTAAGGTCAAAATTAATGTGGAGTCGGTCTATAAAAAACAGGAAAGTTTTTCAGTAGGAAATTCAACGGTGGCCGGCAAGGGTGTGATCAGAGGCGATGAACTTTCAGAGGAGGAAGAAGGTCGGTGCTATGATGGGGTTGGGAGACATGATTTAATAGCTGGCAATACTAGGGACAATGTAGATAGGTGGTTGGTAAGAGAGGTTTGTACAGCTGTGGTAGTCGGTAAAGGGGGTCAGGTTTTAATGTGGAAGGAAGGAGAAGGTCAACCTAGTGGAGTAAAGGTGTCAGAAATTCCAGAAGGAAGTTTGAATTTAAGAGGGAACTTTCAGGGTATGGGGAATAGAAGTAATTTTTCTAACGAAAGTAATAAAGCCCAATCAGAAGACTTGAGTGAGCCCATCATAGCTGGGCCAGATGTTAATTTAATTAGAGTGGGCTATGGTAAACATAAGGAAGCTCGGATGGAGGAACATGAAGAGTTACAGCATAATGTGATGGTTGAATCAAATTTGCAGGATTTGGTTAGAGCTTCGTCTGATTGTAATTCAAATTTAGTTGGTGGGTCCAATAACAGAATACAGATTCAGTTTTCAAAGGAAGACCTAGTAGAGGAAGTTGTAGTCTTGGAAAAGGAAGATGGTACTCTGGATGGGATAGAGAGGGAAAGGGAAGGAACGCTTGTGCTATTGGGTGATTATCAGGGGAGGGGAATAAATAAAAAGCCTTTCTCTCTTGGTCTAAGAAGAGGTTTTCTAAAGCACAAGAAGTTTAGGATTACTCCAACTTAGTCGGGTAGTGTTGGTTCGGAGGGTGAAGCTTCCATTAGTTTCCATGACCAAGTTTATGAAAGGGTAGATGGAGGTCTGGTCAGGGTTCCTTTGGATCAAAATAGTGCTACTTCTAAGTCACCTAACAAATCTGTGGAAGCAAGATTGGAAGCTGCTGCTACTAGGAAAGTCTGTGATATGTGGGGATCTCTTTCAAAGGGGGAAATCATGTCTTGGAAGAGGAGATCTTGAAGATGGAGCTGAATAGGCTTATTAGGAGGTCTTGAATTGTTGTTTTCAGGATGGTCAGGTTTTGTTGATATTGATAATTATGTCACAAATCAGATTGATTTCATGGAATGTTAGGGGGCTTGGAAAAAAAGAAAAAATAAGAGCAATTGCAAGATTAGTATCAAAAGTCAAACCGGTAATTATGTTTATTCAGGAATCTAAATTGAATAAATGTCGAAAGGGTTTACTGAGGAAGTTGGGGGGTAATTGCATGAAAGGTATTAGCTTTCAGCCAGCTACTGGTTCGGCAGGGGGGTTAATATGCTTGTGGGATGAAAATCTGTTTGAAGTTAGTAGGGAATTTAAACAGAATAAATTCATTGCGTTATCAGGAAAGTTTAAGTTGGTTAACTTTGAATGTGTTGTGGTTAATGTGTATGGTCCATCGGTTGAGGCTGATAAAGAGGAGTTCTTTGGAGAGTTGATGAGTTTTATGCACAACCAGGATTTGCCTGTATGTCTAGGGGGGGACTTCAACGCCTATCTAGATCCCGAGGAGAAAATTGGAGTGGCTCAAAATTGGCATTCGGTGGACTTATTCTCTAACTTTATCTCAAATTTAAATCTTATGGACTTACCGTTAGTCGGAGGGAGATTTACATGGTGCAATAATAGAGAAGCTTCCACGTGGATTAGATTAGATCATTTTCTGTTAAGTGGTGCTTTTTTTCAGGTATTTCCAAAAGTTATTCAGAAAGTGTTGCCAAAATCTTTATCTGATCATAACCCTATAGTACTTGAGGATGATTTCAAAAATTGGGGTCCTAAACCTTTCCGGTTTTTTAATTACTTACTAGAGGAGGATGGGTTTGATGGGGTGGTAAAGAATGTTGTGTGTGATTTAAAGATGCAGAATGCTCGTAGGGGTATGCTGAGTATTCTTCAAGGAACTAAGAAAGTGATTAAAAAGTGGCCTAACAGTAATAATATGGGGTTCTCTGAATAGATTTCAGATCTGGAGAATAGGATAAATGATTTGGAATTGAGGTGTCAGGGTGGGAGGATTTCTGCACAAGATTGGGGTCAATTATTGACTTAGAGGAATGAATTGTGGGGTTTGCATAGGAAGGAGGAGAGCATCTGGTTCCAAAAATCAAGACTTAAATGGATCAAGGATGGGGATAGAAATACCAAGTTTTATCATTTATGTGCTCTTAATAGGAGTAGAGTGAATGCCATTTCGTCTTTGAAAGTGGATGGGGAAGATATTATTACTCCTAATCAGATTAGATCAATTATCTCTGAGTTTTTTAAAGTCAACTACAATTCGAATTCAGCTCTGGAAGTGGACGAATGTAATCTGAATTTCAACAAATTGACAGAGGAACAAAAGGCTGGGTTTTCTGAACAGGAAGTGTGGGAAGCTGTCTTTTATTCGGATAGTGCTAAGGCACCTGGTCCGGATGGGTTTTCTATGGGTTTTTTTTTAAAAATTTGGTTCATTTTGAAGGAGCATATCATGCAATTTGTCCAAGATTTTCATAGAGGTAAAAGAATGGAAAAAGGGAGTGAATCATTCCTTTATTACTCTAATCCCTAAGAAAGCGAATCCAGAGGGAGTTGAAGATTTCAGGCCTATTAGTCTTGTTGACAGCCTTTATAAGATCATTTCTAAGGTGCTATCGAAAAGGCTTGTCTCTGTTGTTAATAGCTTGGTAAGCCCTTCACAATTCGCTTTTATTCTGGGTAGACAACTGATTGATTGTGCGCTGCTGGCAAATGAAGGCATTGACTATTGGAGAAAACTAGGGAGAAAAGGAGTTGTTTTCAAATCGGATTTTAGTAGGGCATATGATTCGGTTGAGTGGCCTATCCTATTCAGAATATTGAAGGTTATGGGTTTTGGGGAAAAATGGATCTCATGGATTAAACGTTGTATTTCTTCAGCTTCTATCTCGGTGTTAGTTAATGGCTGTCCTACTGACGAATTCCACATTAGTAAAGGGTTGAGACAAGGGTGCAGTCTTTCACCTCTCCTGTTCAATCTAGTGGGGGAAATGTTACATCTTATGTTGAATAAGGCTGCTGATTTAGGTCTTTTTCAAGGGTTCAGCATTGGTAGGGTTGGTAACTCATTTCATTTGACTCATTTACAGTTCGTAGATGATTTAATCCTTTTCTGCAGAGATTCTCCAATGCAGATTTTAAATATTAGAAGAGTATTAAGGATTTTCGGGGTCATGTCTGGGTTATATTTAAATTTGTCTAAGAGTTCGTTATTTGGAGTTAATATGGATGTTGACCTGGTTAAAGAATGGGCTACGAAAGCGAGCTGTGGAGTGGGGTCCTTTCCTATGTCTTATCTTGGTCTACCGATTGGCACTAGGAAGAATTCAGAGAGTATGTGGGATCCTGTTTTCCAGAATTTTAATAAAAGACTAGCAGGTTGGAAAGCAAAATCATTGTCGTTGGCGGGTAGACTTGTTCTAGTTAAATCTGTGCTTTCATCCTTGCCGATCTTTTTTTTATCTATTTTCAAGATTCCTCTCAAAGTGACTAAGAAGTTGAATTCTCTGATGGCTAACTTCCTTTGGGTGAAGACCTTGATAAGAAACGAATTCATTGGGTGAGTTGGAAGTCGGTTTGTCAACCTATTGAAGAGGGTGGCTTGGGAATTCTTGATTTAAGGGTGATAAATAGAGTCCTACTTGGGAAATGGATTTGGAAATTTGCAAATAAAAAAAGAAGCTTGTGGAAGGAGTTGATCTGCTGCAAAAACAATGTTGATGTCCTGTCCCTTTCTATTTCAGATGCGGCTTCTCCATTTGATTCTTGGATTTGGAAAGGCATCCTAAGTAACTTTTCGAAGAATGATCAGATCGGTGACTGTTTGAGAGACAATTCAAAGATCCAAGTGGGAAATGGTCAGTTGATTGTTTTCTGGACTGATGTTTGGATCACTAGTCTGCCTTTAAATCATCAATTTCCAAGAATTTTTGCTTTGTCTACAAATAAATGGGGGAAGGTCTCTGAGTTTGGTGGGTATGTAGATAATGTTTGGGTTTGGAACATCCAGCTTAGAAGGAATTTGTGTGATTGGGAATTGGACCAGTGGATCGATCTAATGTTGTTGATTGACAAGACTAAGCTGTCATGTTCTGTTGATGATTTCCTGGGGTGGTCGGGTAAGGGGGATGGCATGTTCTCGGTCAAAGATTGTAGACTGTCGTTATATGATAGTTCTGAAGAGAGTTTTGAGTGGAAGAAGTGGGTTTGGGATGGTTTGGCTCCGCCTAGAGTTCAAACCTTCTTATGGCAGATTTGCCATTAGAAATAGCAATTAGAGTGGAATTGAAGAAAAGAGGGATCCCTCTAACGGAAGTATTGTGTCCATTATGTAATTCCCAAGATGAAACTATAGCTCACCTGTTCTTAACGTGTTTTGTTGCTTCGGGATTGTGGTGTAAATTTCTAAGGTTATGGGATATTTCAACTGCTCTGCATCAAGATCCTTCCTCTATTCTCTGCTCATGGTCCAATCTTAGGCATAATTCTATCATTTGGAGGTTTATTCCGACTGTTATTTTCTGGTCAATCTGGAAGGCAAGAAATCTGGTTGTTTTTGAAAATGGAAAATGTGACAGTTCAGTTCTGTATTTTATCACTAGATTTAGATTGGCGAAATGGTTCTTAGCTAAACATCCTTCGGTTCGGATTCAGACAGACCTTTTAGTAGGGGATCCTACGAGGGCAGATTCTTTTCTCATTACTTCTGGTCCTAAGAAGGTTATTGGTTGGTCTCCTCCTCCAGCGGATATGTTTAAACTCAATGTTGATGGAGCAGTGACTGGCGATGGGATGCAAGGGGGTACTGTTGGTGTCTTGAGAGACTCTTTCAGCGGCTCTTTAGCTTCCTTCTCTTCTGCAGTAGGGCATGGTTTGCCTATTTTGACTGAACTGAAAGCTATTAAGGAAGGATTGGGTTTTTTCTATTCTTCAAATTGGGCTAAGAAGGGAAGACTTATTATTGAGAGCGACTGCAAATGTGCAGTGGATTGGATTTTAAAGCTGCAACCTGCCCCTTCATTTTTCAGTGATCTGGTGGAGGATATTGAAGCTCTTATTACTACTAAGGGAGTCGTTCTTAGATGGATTCCTAGGAGCTGTAATTTGGAGGCTGACAGGTTAGCTAAACAGGGGATCGGTTAAGTGTAACAGGCCTCTTGTAATGTTTTGTGCTTTTTCGATGGGTTTGTTGTGGTTGATCCTTTGTAATAGTATTGCTAGTTTGGGAATCAGGACTCACCCTCTGATCTAGGGTACTGCTGTGTCGGTTTTGAGTAGGTTTCTGTTATAGTTTTGGTTTGCTTTGGGTTTCGAGCGCTTTATGTTGTTTATGGTTTGATGGGGGTGTGGTCCTAGTTGTTTCTTATGTATTTTATGTTGTTGAATAAAATCCTAAGGCGCTCTTTTCCTCCTTCCAATGATTAAGGAGCTTTCTCCAAGCTCCATTAATTACGAAAGGGGTTTTTAACGAGGCCTTCAATTCTTATAAAAAAAAATGATAAATTGTTAGTATAAAACCTGCCCAACTACCTCAGAGATGGCAGCTGCCATGGTAGATTCATGAGCTTCTGCCTTCTCAAAGTTACCACTAGCATCTTCCGATCCTCGTGACAAATCTTCTTCAGTAAACTGGCCGCCTCCCTTATTCCTTTCTAGTTGTCTTTTAGATTTCTCCCAATCAACCAGTGATTGTAGTATGTTGACAAGGCACTAAAGAGTTTAAGAAGTAAAACTTTATCAAACAACTACACTGGACCTGTAAGCATAGAAATATAAACCAAAGAGGTGTACTAATAATTGAAAATCTGATTTTGTCAAGTTGTCCAATAGATAAACAGACCTGAAGTGAGGAACCCTTAATAGATGTTGTCTGGTTGACAGCAGTAGTGTTTGAGTCAGCATTTTGTGCCCCTTGAGCTATTTTAGACAGAGCTGTAACCTGAAGGCCAGAAGGCAAATGGTATACTTATCTAAAAAAAACCTAGAATAAAATATATAAATGTCAGGTTGACCTAGTTCATACCATGCGTTGGAACAAGTTAGGTGCATCAGGATCACAATCATAATTCACATAAACATCAACAAGCAGCTGAGGATTTTTGCAAACTTTCTCAAGCATCCTAGAAAAATAAAACTATAAAGGTTAGATAATATAAAGCAACACACTAACATGGTGATGAGAATATACTGAAAAGTGAAAGCCTCACAAATAACTAAAACCAATGCCCCGGTAATTGCAACATCTACTCAATTAGAAAGGGCACCATACCTGAGAACACTAGTTTTTTGGTTAATGGGGAAATCTGCACCATCCAATGACCGCAAAACAATCAAGGGAAAAAAGAAACCAATTTCACCCTAAAAAGGAATAAGATAAAAGTATTCAGGCAAAGAAGTTGTGTATCTCATCGATAATGCTTTATTTGAAAAAAAAAATAGCTTTAATAATCTGTAATGATAGTAGTCATACTTTAAGACTCTCTCGAAACCGCAACAAAAGCACAGAAAATATCCCAGTTGCATACTGCAACATAGAAATGCGTCAGGACATTCTCATGGCAGATCCTTCTAAAAGTGGGTAAAGAAAAGATATTATGTAGAAGCAAGATAACCTGAATGACAGGGGATTGTGAAATTGAAGCCTGCAGCAAAGCATATAAAAGATATGCTTTCACCGAATCAATGAAATGAAAGTCCTTTATAGATGAATGGCTAATCCCTCCCAACAAATCCTGCAATACCATATGGACCAGCAAATATGATCAAGGTCATGAGCTACCTATTCTTTATTACAGATAAACAAAGAGTTCCCCGTGTATCCAAACTCAAATACAATGAAGATTACATAAATACTTTCCCTGCCAATAATAAGAATGAAAATAGAAAATATATCCTTTTAGCACAGGAAAAAAAACCTGAAGCATACATAAAAATTATCCAACATTGTTGGAAAACCACTGTGTTCTACTATAAAAAACACCAAACATTAAATAAATTCATAAGTTAACCTGCAGAAGCTCAAGAGACAAAATCTGTGCCTTGGTGTCATCAGTATCTTCCTTCTTGCTCATCTGGAAGAAAAAAAAACATTTCATGAAGGGAATCCTAACAAAGATTTCAAAATGCATAGAATAATTGGTGATAGTATAAGTCGTACCTTGCAAAGGGTATAGAACACTAGTAATGCATCACGTTTACCAATACTCATGCTCTCGAGGTCAATCCCTCTAGGATAAGTTTCAGATTCATGATAGCAAGTATCAACAAACAATTTCAACAAAAATATCAGCAAAAGTAAGAAACAGAAACTAGCAATCTGGGTAAAAATACTTTGGTACATACCTCATAATCTTTTTACCATCCTCAACATTCAAAATTTTGTCAAGAACAACCTCTAAACCCTATAAAACACATAAGTTTCATCTTAAGAACTATAAAAACAAAAGAAAACTTCCCTCAGTAAACAGCTATAAAATGGTAAAAACCTAAGACCCGCGAATTATATGAATCAAAACAACAACAAATAGAAGGATGCACCTTGATATCAGCAGCACCAGCAAGTTTTTGAAGTTCCTCAATAGATGGAAATGGGGCATCCTTGACCCAGTTAAGTGCATCCCCTAAGGTTGTTCCATTGTCATTTTGGTCCCCTGAGGAAGTTTCTTCTGCATTTGAGGTGGAATTATCTGAAGCAGCAGCTTCAGTATGATGTGAAGAACCAGATGAAGTAGGGACCTGAGTTTCAGGTACAAAGATATTACCTTCTCCCAGATATAAGATGAAGCAAAAGATGCTGTATAGTTAAAAGCTTAGAGATGAAATTCCATACCACATCAGTCTCCATTCTCCTAAATAGGATGCTAATCATCTGTGTTAGCATTGCCTTTGATGTTGCTTGGTTTATAGGGCTCTTGCTACATATTCAAGCCACAAATCATGAGTACTATTTCAAAATGGAGTATCACTATCTTCAACAAATATAAATAACACCTGTGAAGAGTAATATTGTAGCAGACTCTAATAATTCCAAGCAAAGGTTCCCCGTGGACTGCAATTTCAATTAGAAAATTACAACAAGACTCGGTTCATATACTAGACAATAAACGAGACAACTAGATCCTGGACAATGTACCTCTGAACTTCGTGGATGCTACAGCAGTAAGAAGTACCTTCAACACTTGCAGTATTGTACTGCAAATTGTTTCCCAGTATTAAAAATATGTAACAAGTTAAATATGTTAAAAATGAGGTTAACAGACACAAGAGCCCATACCTGTCAGGAGAAGAATCATCAACACAATTGCAGACCATATTCAGAATATCTGTAAACAGAGGAACAGTTTTACCACCATCTAAACCAAGATCTCCCTCCAGATGATCATAGGCAATTAGTTTCTGTGCTTATGGAAATAAAAACAAACCATGTCAGTAATCATTATGCAAAACATGAAACATTTGAATTTCCAAAATTAAATGGAATAAAAATAAACATTAAGACAATAAACAATAAAAAATAGCAAGCTTTCAGATGGATTATGTCTTCCCGTAATGTCATGAAAAACATAGAGAAGGCCACAAAGCAGAAAATAAACATTCAAAAATAGTAAATCAAGAAAGAAAGCAACTACATACATGAAGACAATCCAGAGCTGGTTCAAAAATTTTTAAGTTCTTTGTCTCAAATGCAAGTTGAAGAGGATTTAGGACAAGCTCCACCTCAGGCCCTTCTAAGGTGTACCCTGCACTAGCCAGGGCAGTTGTGATGGTTCCACTAACACGTTGTGACCCAATGGAACTATAAAATGAAACAAAAAACAAAGATTGGAGGTCACCCATCATGTATCTTTCTAGTTTCAGTTCCCATGGAACTACAGGTAAAAAAAAAAATCGGAGTCATCTATAATTGTTACAGTATCAGTCATTATCACATTACCCCAACTGATATCAATTCTGTATTACATTTAACAAGACCATTTAGAGTGTTAGCTGAAACATATAAAGGCTTAAGTGATGGGAAAAAACTTCTACTCTGAACTATATGGAACCTAAATAACCATAAACAAATTGACCAAAAATATACAAAAAGGCTATTCCATTGGGATTATATCTTGGGTAAGAAACTAGGAACATAAAAAGGAATAGCCGATTATAAGATTGCAAATAGAATAAACCTTCCATCTCCAGGCGACGCCTGATTTGGCTCAGTGGATGAAGAAGGTCGATTCCTTTGTTTCGGACTATCTGAGAAATGAAATATATATATATATGTAAATAGATGAAAGCAATTGACCAATCAGCAACAACTTTAACAATAAATTAAAGGAATAGATAAGTTCAAATATTAAAGGAAACCAATAAAGATGCCATATATTAAATGCATGGATATCATTACTCTCCCATCCCTCGTCTTCTTAATGACATAGTAACTATTCCATGCAGCAACCAGCAACAGTGTCGTTTAACGAATTACTCAATCAGGGAGAGGAAGAAAAGATCAACTCCTAGAACCACATATTCTATCAACAAAATGAACTGGGATCATTACCAATTTGTTGTTTCATTATTCCATTTGAATAAAAACAATTTTGAAATGAACACAAATTTTTCTTAGACACTCCTAATATCCGTCAGACATGAAACAGAAAATCCTACTCATTCTCATAGAAATGTAGAAGTAATTACTTTTATATGAAAGGTATCAAATACTCGTTTAAAACACCAATCTTCTTAATCAAATGTTAGCAGAGATTATAGCTTGTAAATTCCACAACTACTCCAAAATCCTATAACTTATATCTAAGTACCATTCTAACTGCATTTTAAAGTAATTCTATAGTTGAATGAATAGATATGGAAGGCGGGACTAAAATAACTAAACAACGGCTAATGCAGGAGAAAATTCAATAAAGCACATACCAGTAATAGGAGTTAGGACCTTTTAAAATCACAATGATAATTAAATCACTGAAAACCAAAATTAGACTAACGAATAACAATAGAAAGAAAACATATTGAACACCGAGAAATTGTAATCAAAGCATAATTACAAGATAAAAGAAAATCAATAAAGATTACAAGTAGAATTCCGCTTCGGACACAAAGAAACAATAAATAGACAAAGATGCATAAAATAAGATTTAAAAAGAAACTACAGATCTGACCTAAATAAGTTTGAATAGCCTTGTAAAGATCAGGATGCTTTTTGGCGGAACATTCTTTGAGCATCGACTCGAATGCTCGGCTCACAAATCCACCAGCCGCCATTTTATTATTCTCTTCTACAACGATTTTAATGCGACAGTTTCGAAGTTTCCTTCGCTGTCTCACCTAAAGCGCAAAAATCATTGATCAAACAGGTAATGTACGAAGAGAGTTGGGATCTACGGATACAAATAGAAAAATCTGTACATACATGTAAGAGAGGGAAAAGAGAAAACGAGTTACCACCGTTTATTGTAATTTGCTCCGAGTGAGAAGAAATCGTAGTGATGACCCATGAAGATCTGAAAAGAAATAAACAGATTTCTTGAATTGAATTTTTTGCAGGAAAATGAGTATATGCTGCGTTTACTGGGCTTTTGCGATGAACCCGGACAATCCCAGATTTTGATTGGAATTGGGGTTAGGACTAATAACGGTCAGGTTTGTCCTTTCAATCTTTGTTATCTTTTTTTAATTATAATTATTTTTTGAACATTCTTTAAATTATAATCAATTAGTCTTACGGTATGGTTAAAGAAATAAATTTGAATTTTAAAAAGTCGATTATTATTTTTATTGCAAATATCATAATTTAAAAAATATTTATTAAAATAGAATTTGTATAATATTCGCTTTTTTAATTATAATATTGGATAGAGAAAATAACTTCAGTGACCGAAAATGCCTTATAATATATGATTTTAACCAACTTTTTTTGGATTTGCGAAAATGACCAACAAATTCGCAACGCGAACTCCAATTTCGCAACACAGTTTCTAAATTCGCAACTCATTTTCTACAATCGCAACGCGATTTCCAAATTCGCAACGCGATTTCCAAATTCGCAACGCGATTTCCAAATTCGCAACACGGAATTTCAAATTCGCAGCACGATTTCTGAATTCGCAATGCGAATTTCTTTTTCGCAACACAAGTTTCCTTTTCGCAACAAGATTTTCTAAATCGCAACACAAATTTGTTTTCGCAACTCGATTTTCGAATTCGCAACAACTTTTATTTTCGCAACACAAATGTTTTGGGTATATAAACTACGCAGTAGCAGCAACTCATAACCTAAATCCCTAAATCGCAACTCATTTCATCTCCATCTCTCACTCTCTCCGGCGACATCCGTTCCTATATCAACGACATCCTTCCCCATCTCTATTTTTTTATATATAATTTTATTTCTATATAATTTTTCAATGATTTCTCTCCCAAATTATCAACTATCAACTTAATAAAGGTATGTTTTTCTCTAAGTTAGTGATGATATCTAGTTTATAGCTCGTTTGTTTAGTAAATTAATTTACAATTTGTATAATGAAATCATCTAATGTTGATCATTTTTGGATAGATTTGTGTTTTGGAGGGTCATGGGAGAATGTTCATGGTGTTTTACAATATATGTCTTTACCCATGAATCTTCAACTAAAACTGCCATTAAAAAAAATAACTTATGAAATTCTAATGTTATGTGTTGCAAATAAATTGAATTTAGATCCTCTAAGTGGATTTAGGCTACCTTATCAGAAAAAATGTAAAGTTTATTTATTAACCGACAATGAAGAAGTTGAACGATTCATTGCTTACATTAGTGTTTCGCAAGATGATGTTACATTGTATGTTGTTGAACCTAGAAGTAGTGAAGTTGGGTCAGTAGCGGGTAGTAATCAACTAAGTTCTTCAACCCGAGTTTATGGTGCTCACAATGTACAACGTTGTTATCAACCTCAAAATTTAATGGTTCTACCATAATTTCATCACCAAGAAAATTTTGTTTCACCACGAAAATTTTGTTTCACCACATTTCCAATACCAAACACAATATCAAACACAATCTCAAAACCCACAATCTTTCCCTAATCCAAATCCCAATCAACTTTCAGCACCAAATTCCGATTTTCGTATTGACCAGTTAGACGAAGATGAGCCAACAGAAAAATTTTTGAGTAATAGTCAGTATTCGAAATTTGATCTTGGTCAATACCCGGACTTTGATCTTGGTCAATACTCAGATTTTGATGATGTTTCAGAAGAAGAAACAGACACTGCGTGTAATGATTTTGATATTGGTCAACACCCGAATTTTGATGATGAAACAGCCGCTACCAAGGAAGATATTGTTGATGATAATGAAGAGGAAGTTACGACTGTGAATGAACATGTTGAACATCCATTCTGTAATTCATATAACCCTGAAGAAGTAAAATAAGAAAAAGAAGTCCCCGAAGAAAAAGAAGAAGAAGAAAATGCCATGGGAGTATAACTTGAATATGCCAGAATTACTTCAGATACCAGAAGAAGAGTTGGTAAAGATAGCAGTTCCTTGTTACACAAAATTTATTTGTATCAAGAAAGATGATTGTTTTGATACAAAGGAAGACTTGAAGATAGCTTTGTATACGAAATGTGTGGAAGATGGCTATCAACTAAAAGTTAACAAATCAAGAAAAGATCGTTTTGAAACAAAATGTATGATTGACAAAAACTGTACGTGGCGTATGATTGCAAAGAGGATAAAAGATTGCGAAATGTTTCAAGTTAGGAATTTTATTGATAAACATACATGTTCAAGAACCCAAGTTTTTCCTCACCATAGACAGGCAAATAAAAAGGTGTTTGGTGGTTTTCTGGCTGAGTTAATGTTTTTGAATGGCAGGGTATATCGGGGACATGAAATTATGATTGAGATGAATGCTTGGTTCAAGATTAGTATCTCATATTCTCAAGCTTGGAGAGCCAAATGTTATGCCTTGGAATTGTTGAGGAGGTCGCCAGAAGCATCGTTTGCCCAACTGCCGGCTTATTGTCACAATTTAAAGCTGAAAAATCCTGGGTCGGTAACTCATATCAAAACAGATAGAGATGGACACTTTGAGTTGTTGTTTATCGCCATTGGTGCTGCGGTTAATAAATCAATATAATTTTGTTGACTCATTTTTGTTAGTTACATGCATTTCACATTTAAATGAATATATTTCTTGTGTATATTATTTTGTAGATTCGTTCGTTTATTACTTGCATGCGCCCAGTTATTATAGTTGACGGAGCACATTTGAAAGGTCGATACCTTGGAGTAAACTTATTAGCAGTAGCCATAGATGCTAACAATGGGATACTGTCAATAGCTTACGGGGTTGGCAAATTTGAAACCTCTGATTCATGGACATCGTTTATGGGGCATCTTAGGGATTGCATAAGTCCTATTAGCAATCTGACAATCATATCTGATAGGGCAAACTCAATTGACAACGCTATTAGAAGCTGTTTTCCAGATGCTTTTCATGGACTTTGTGGTGTTCATTTGTACAGAAATCTAAAATCAAGGTCTGTTGGTATACAAAATCACAAATGGACATATTGGAAGGCTGTAAAAGCTTATCGGGAAGTGGATTTTAATAAGCATATAAATTGTTTAAGACGTGTTTTGCCTCAATGTGCTTAAACACTAGAATATGTCGGGTTTGAAAGATGGTCAAGAGTACATCAACTTGGAGTAAGATATGGTTTCATAACGTCTAATAGTGCAGAATCAATCAACGCTCTAAGTCGTCATTCCCGAAAATTACCCATTACTATGTTAATGGAGTCTTTTCGAGCCTCTATTCAACAGTGGTACTACAAGAAAATAAACCATGCATGTATTATTTCTTTAAATTCGTAACTCATCATATTTAATATTGTAACATCCTAAGTCAGGGTTAGTGACTAATTACAAATTTTGAAAGTTTTGTGCTCAATTTAGAAATAAATTAAAAGTCTCGGGAGTTAAGTAAGAATTTTAATATTGTATTAAATAGCAAGGATGGATGAACTAAAGGGGCAAAATGGTCTTTTCTTGGGAAAGATTTTTATCTTCCCTTTTTGAGTATTATAAAACGTGGGAAAATATGAGAGAGTTCCAGACTTTTCTTCTTCGTTCTCTCCTTTTCCACCGTGAAGCCATAAGCAAATGTAAGATCTCTTGTTAGTTGATATTTAGCTGAATTTAGGATTTGGTTATGATTATTGGATGATAATTAAGCTTTAGGAAAGCTTAAATCATCTTAAAAACAAAGGATAGTAGAATTAGGAGAGATTAAAGATTAAGAGTTTTTGAATGAAATTCTGGAATAAAGTTCTTTACTCAAATTGGAAGATAAATTTGACTTGTCAATGGTTGAATTAAGAGATATGAAGTGATGGAATTGAATTTAGAACAAGAAGAAAAATTAGTTTGATTCTTGAATTCTATGTAGAGAATTAGATTTTGAAGTTAAAGATGTATTGAATGAGTAGTAATGAGTTTAAGCATGTATATGTAAGTTAAGAATAAGAAATGAGATGATATATGAAGTGTTTGAGAGGAAATGAAGTAATTTTCGTGCTGAAAAATGATTTCTGGGTTAGGGGGAATCAGTACCCATTCAAAGGGGTACCGATACCCTCTCAAACGAGTAGAATTCCAGAATGTCATGAGGGTATCGATACCCCCAGTAGGGAATCGATACCCCCTAAAGGAAAATTGAAAATATTGGTTTAATAAGTTCGTTTAAGTTGATAGTATCCAATTACAAGGTGTAGGTATCTAATAATTGCCTTAAAATGTACATTTATGTAGATTCTGAGCATAAGACAATTTTGGAACATTTGGCAAGTAAGATCGATCAGGGGAAAGATTAGAGATCGAGATTGACTAGTGAGACCAGGTGAGTGCATATTCAATAGTATATGGTGTGTGATGGGAATAAGACTTGCGATGAGTCTATTTCCTGAAGTGTTACATATGAATTCATGATTAAAGGCATGAGTTGAATATGAGTGTATGTATGTTTGATTATCTGAATTGATATGTTTTGTATGTGCCATGTGGTTTATGTAAAAACACGATTAAGTGTTATTAAGAGAATATAAAATAAGTTATGAAATTATAGGAATATAGAAGATAAGTTGATAGATGTAGGGAAATAGAAATAGATGTTTATAAGGAGTCATAGGAGAACAAATATAAGTAATATGATAATGAAATATAAGACTATGTGAATACATGGTTATGAGATAAAATATGTAATAATAGGAAAATATGATGAAAGTGAGTTCATGAGAAGTGATATGAACTAGGAAAACATGGGTAACAGTATATGCATAATGGAAACATGAGTTGGACAAGTACATAGTGGTATGATTTATTATGAGAATTAGTATAATGGAGCTATATGAAAAGATTATAATAAATATATGAAATTGAATTAAGTAAAGAGATTAAATTAGTACCTAAATAAAAATACTATTAAATGATATATGTTTAGAAATACGACATAATTTATAATCTAAGGGAATACAAAGAAATGGAGCATAAGGTAGATAATATGATATCAGTTATTATATATATATATGATATATGTCATCAGGTAATATGAAAGGACTCTGAAAATTGATATAAGCTATG